AGTGTGAGGACGGTCTGCTTCTTGTTTGGGGTGATTGTTTGAGTTGAAGTACGGAGGAGAACGCACTTCATCTACCCTCTGTGCTTGTGCTGCACCAGGAGAGCTGACTCAGAACACCCAGATGACATACTGCCCCCTCTTGGACGACATTAGATCATAAAAGGTAATTTCATCACTGTGAGGCATTCTCGCTGTTTTTATTTCTTCCTCTATTTTCCCCCCTACTAAAGCAAAAAGTCTCATTACAGTCACCCTAAACGCATAATCTAAGATTTGTAGCCACAGCAGCTAGTGAAAATGGTGCCTCCTTCATCTCCTTTTTTCCTGCCAGAAATAACAAGCTGCACTGCATCTAACTGGGGTCTGGATGAAGCTCTTGCTTTCTGTTTGCAAACCATGTGACAACTAAGAAAAGATAGGTTAGGAGAAAACTGGCATCAGAGTCTGACTTATTAAACATCCATGAAGTTGTTGCGACTTCATCAATGAGTAAAMACATTTGTAAAAGGCCAACCATTCTATAAAAAAATGCATTTCGCTCACCTGTAATAAGACAGAGCTGTAATTGTTTTGGTCAAACTTCACAAACAACATTATCTGCATTTTTGMAAAATGTCTATCTTAAAGTGTGTKTTGTTAATGACTTTCAGCAACTACCTTATCATGTTATACCTCAATTTGTTTAAACTGAGTTATAGGTATTTCTGAGCTGGCTTAAATTAGATAAACTCCAAAAAGGTAACCAGTTGTACAAGTACATTCAGCGTTTATTTTCTGAAAGTCTTGTAAAAATCTTTTTCTTAGTTCATGAGATATATTACTAACAGACAAACTGGGTTGACTCCAACACCAGTGGTTCTCGTGGTATTTYGTTACCAAATACATAAATACAGGCAAAACCATCATCGTCTACCTTTGCTTTGCGGCAATTAAAAAAATTAAAATCAGGCACCAGTCAGAGAAGAGGTGGYTGAGGTTGCTTCATTTCTGTAATAGGAGCATATAAAAAAGTGGTTGCTCATTTCTTTTCTGGAGCTGAACCATCAAAACACCTGCTCTGAGCTCAGAGAGCTCATTATCGTCATACATTGTTCCTGCAGGGAGACAAAAAAAGCACAATACGGCGGGGCTGAGCTTTCTGTTGCAACACGAGGGGTGTTTAGAGAGATATTACAATATGCATGACCCCAGAGAAAATAAAATGACAAAAAATTAAGAGCGGGTGAAAAATACGCTCAGAGACAGCTTGCCCTTCTGTAACAATGCTCCTGCATACCGATTGGAGAGGTTTATTAAACTGAATACCAAGTGGAGTGCTAACTAAATCTTATTATTCTCCTCACCAATGGGCACTTTCCTCTGAGTCAATCTCAAAAGAAATTAGCTCCTGAGTCAAAAAGGTTGGTGGAATGCACATAAAATATTCTTAATTCAGTGGCAGCTGTAAAAAACTGGCTGTTTGTTCAACAGAATCTTAAAAAAAAAATAAAAAATAACTCTGAGGGAGGGAAGATGAGATGAGAAGCATCGAGCAACTGCTCAAATAAAATAACGGTGGTGGGAAATCTGTTTTTTTTTACAAAACATTATACGCTGGCCCTCGTCTCTACAGCACTCTCTAATCACATCAAGGAATAAGCATGTCGCTCATTTGATGAAAGTCGGCGATGAATGTAATAAAGCTGACAAGGTTATTAGAAGCGCCACAGGCCATTTTGTTGAGGCTCACACAGCTCAGATTGGATTTTATGGAGAGAAATATGATGAAGCAAGGAGGTGCCCATTTACAAAGGACCACGGGAGGCTTAATGGCTTGTGACTGAGTTCATTTATACACATTAATTCCTGCAACTATGACAATCTGCGGCATTTCTCCGGACCCTGTGACTACCCTCAGACATCATTTAAAAGGTGCTTCACTCTGACTCTCTGTAACCACATGTTGCCTGTAAAAGGCCAAAGACTGTACAATAAACCTGATCTGAGTCTTCCCTGACATAATCTTTATGTTTCTATTGAACACAGTATAGGTTAACTTGCAATACATGCTGATATTTTTGTAACTGTATCAGTTTCAGAGTAATATGATAAACAAATATTAGCTTCTCTTATAGATATATTGCATCATAAATCAAATTGACAAGCCATTTGTGGGTAAAGTGTTTTCAGCCCAAAACTTTATTTCAGCCCTATGCTTGTAATGTGTGAATATTATGATCTTAAGCTTGACTACAGACACATTTAAGTGTCTGATTAAGACTAAATAAGTGACAGAATATGTAGTTAGGGATTAGAAATTAGGAATTCAGGTACAGGTCTCAGATCATCCTGGCTTGTTKTCCTTACCTGCGTGTGCGTGACTGCTGCTGATTGGACCGGTTCCAAATCTTTGTACACAGTTTGTCATTATCTTCAGTTCTGCTGCCAGATATTTGCTGAAGAGAGAGARCAATTTGTTTAAACAAAGAAAGCATCCTCCTGTGTTACAGAGCGGGGGGGCTAAAAATCCTTCAGAGTGACACTCTGCAAAGGGACGGCAAAGCCAATGCAAACATTGTGACASAAAGAGGAAAAACTGCATTTATTTAGTGGCGTGCTGAAAATTACACGTTTCATGGGTGTGATGAGGTAAAAACATTTATCCTGTGATCATGTCTACAACCTGTCTGTGATTAAAGATTTACTTTTTTTTCTTCTTGTGTATTTTTGTAAATCCTTTTGTAGAACYATTTGTTTTATTTCATGTGCAACATTTTTTGGTGTTTTTCTTTATATACAGTTTCCTGTATTTTTCTGCTATAAAGAAATACAAACTTCATATAATTCAAACTACATAAATAAAATTTTTACAGAAATTATAGTGAAAGCTGAGTGCTAAATGACTGCCAAAATTTACTGAAGAAGCTAAATGTGTCAAAAAGTTAGTTTAAAAGTGTTAGAGATAAAAGTAGCAAACAGCTAAAAGTAGTTGTTGAAAACTCAAAAGATACAAAAAAGTGAAGACTCACRTAAAATGCTAGCTAAAACAGCAAAAATGTTAGATAAAAAGTACCAAAACAGTTATCTAACAGTATTGAAAATTTATCTAAAAGCAGCACATGGCTAGGTGAAAAGCCAAAGCGGTAAAATGTTAGCTTAAATCTAAATAGCTAAAAGTACTTAGGCTTGCTAAAAGAAGCAAATGGTATTGAAAAGAAACAAACGTTAACTAAAAGTGAAAAGCATCATAAGGCTAGCTGAACTTAGCAAAAGGCTAACTTGTCACAGTTTCAGGAGGTTGGACACAAGAATGCAGACTACTGGCAACAAAGAGCCCAAAGGTATTATTTAAATTTATTTTTAGACAAAAACAAAATGCTGAAGTGGCAGAAAGACTTACTTTACAAAACTTTAATAACGCACCAGGAACCACAAGGAGACCACAAAGAGCACCAGACTTTGGCATGCAAGAAAAATAATGCTCCACTGATGTGGTGAAACTGACAGGATATTTGGACAGAGGCTGACGAGGGAAATGGCTGCAGGTGTGATAATGAAACAGGAAACAGGTGTGAGTGGGCGTGGCAGGCTGATTGACAGGGCAGATTAACTCTGGAGAAGTTCTTGAAGAAATGATTGGAGGCAGAGATGCACAGGGGAATAAAAAAACTGAACACAAAAGGGACCATGAATCAAAGAAACAGAAAAAAAAATAAAAACAGAAAATGTGAAAATATATGTTTTTATCATATTTGCAAACAAAGACAAGTATTTGGAAAAGTATAAAAGTTGCAAAAAACAAAAGTCATGGCACCCATCTCATGAATAATCTGAACTGAAATAGTAYGACGTCAGTACAGTACGTCTTTTCTTTACACTTCTTCTACCTGTCAGGTATTTCACACATTACACCTCATAGTAGAATGCAGAAACATGATCCTTCTTTTAAATTAGGTTCAACTAAACTGCACCGTCTTCTCTCCATCCAGCTTTTTTCTTTTTTTTTCCATGTCTTTAAGACAGAGCTGATGTTTCCCTCCATCAGCAGCAGCACCTGAGCTGCAGGGAGACCTCTGGGATCCCTGAACCCTGCTGCACCTCATCAGGTGCTCCGGCCCTGAAGCTGCTGGTTACCAGCTCTGACTGCAGGATGAGTAGACCACATGCTGACACGTTCTGTCCAGCTGCTCCTGTCAGCCTCCAGCCCAAGTTGTTATCACCAACTGGACATGGCACCGGGAGTGACGAATGAAACAGAGATTTGTGGTTCGAGCTGCTGGACGAGGTGAAGTTCCTGTCTATAACTGTATGCCTATAACTGATCACCTTTCAGAGTCAGTCGAATTCACAATGGCCACCACGGTCGACTGAACTTAGAAAACACAAAAGTGGCTTTAATTTGGTCAATTTTACAATTATTCTGTTCAAACTTGTTGAGGTAGTAGCTGAGGGTAATCCACAACACATACTCGTGAGCATGATATATCATCAGTCATTTCTAAGCATRAGATGATCTTTATTYATAMCTCTGRCATAAATGGAGGAAGGCAATATKTATTCCTTTAATACAGGGGTRTCAAACTCATTTTCACTGAGGGYCAYATGAACATTATGGTGGTCTTCAAAGGGCCAGTTGTAAATAACATCTGCTTTACATTGYATTTCCTGCTTAGAAACAGCATTTTAACAWATCCTCTYATGAACACTGAAAAGTAYYTTGTGTACAACTGACTAAATGTGAAATAAAGTACAAAGTAGGCAACTGAAATGCAGCAAAATGCAGACTTTACACTGCAAATTGTCTCGGTTAGTGGCTGCTTTTTAACCCTGCAGGATGTCATCATTTCACAGGTAAAATACTGACACGCAATGTGGGACATGTCGTTTATGGTCAATGATGGCTTTAAATCAGCATAAGCTTTTTGTAAGATGCTCTGGCAGGCCACATAAAATGCAGTGGTGGGCCACATTTGGCCTGTGGACCCTGACTTTYGCACGTGCTGTAAAGGATGAGCCTTGTCCAGTTTTAACACAAACGAGTCACTGCAGTGTTCAGTTACCTTTAAGCAGGACAGGTGAGCAGGTGTTTTCAGGAGGCTGGCAAWCTGTGACGTCACTGCGACGTGGCGAGGTGAGGTGCTGTCCAAGGTGCTGAATCTTCAGGTATGAAGCAGCCGGTGGTGTGGGTGTTAAACGTCTTTTAGATGAAGAGAGAACACCTCTCACCGTCTTTTGCGCTTATTTAGTGCCTGAAACCAACTTTTCTCGCCCCTCTTCCTCCCTCCCCTCCAGCATCATGGACCTCCTTCCCGCCCAGGAGGCCGCCAAAATCTACCACACCAACTACGTGAGGAACTCCCGCGCCATCGGCGTCATGTGGGCCGTGTTCACCATCTGCTTCGCCATCATCACGGTGGTGGTCTTCATCCAGCCCTACTGGATCGGGGACAGCGTCAACACCCCGCAGGCCGGCTACTTCGGCCTCTTCCACTACTGCATCGGGAACGCGCTCACGTCGGAGCTCACCTGCAAGGGCAGCGTCTTCGACTTCAACTCCATCCCGTCCCCGGCCTTCAGGACCGCCATGTTCTTCGTCGGGACCTCCATGCTGCTGGTGGTGGGCACCATGGTGGGCTTCAGCATGTTCTTCTTCTGCAGCGCGGCGAACGTGTACAAGATCTGCGCGTGGATGCAGCTGGCCTCAGGTCAGGGCTTTATTCTTGACCAACTCTCACTTAGTTTCCAAAATGTATTCATTCATTCATTCATTCATTCATTCATTCATTCATTCATTCATTCATTCATTCATTCATTCATTCATGCATTCATTCATTTTTTTGTATTTGATAATAAAACTCTAATTTCTGGTGGCAATTCTCTTTTCCTTCTAATGTCCACATT